GCAGATTCGCTGGCACCTAAGACCCTGATACGCACTCGACCCTGATACGCACTCACCCAGTCTGTCCATTCACATCCCCGAGATTCTTACGCTTCCTCCTCCTACCTGGGGACTCCTGAAACCACTTGCCTGGGGCGGTAGGAACCTTCTTGCCATCCTGATGGACCTGCCCTGACCTACCTCCCTCCCTCTCCGCGGGAGACCCCATTGCACTGCCCCTGCTTGGCCAGGAGGTAAGAGAAGGATTCGTCCCCTCCCCCATGGCGAGTCAACTCTAGACGGATACCACGCCGTCGACCTCCCTGCCTCTCTCCCTCCCGTTTTAACTGCGTTTTCTCCCAATGCCTGCACGCCCCTGCCAAGGGTGCAGACCCTGAACACTCACATGGGCATCAGGGCCTTTCTCCTCCCCACCTACAGCTGAAGCAGGAGGTGCCGGGGTGAAAGGGCAGCTGCAGCTGTGGTGATATGGAAAATGAAGTTGGGGGACCCAAGAGAAACACCCCCATTCTTCCAGCCGCAGTCATGGAGCCATTGAACAGCTGTGAGCCATGCCTCCCTCGGCCACCTCCTACCCTTTCCTGTCCTGCCTCCTCATCAGTGTGTAAATAATTTGCACTGAAACGTGGATACAAAACCACGAATTTGGTTGTTGTAAATAAAACTATTTATTGTGCTGGTTTCCAGCCTGGTTTGCAGAGACCACTTCCACCCCCAACCAAATCCCTCTCCACTCTTCTCCTCTTTTGCCCTTCAGCCTTTTCTGATCCCTCTTCTCCTCTCCCCAATTTTTCAAAGATGCCTTTGCCTCCTGGAATCAGCATTTCCTTCCACTGTAGCTATTAGCGGCTCCTCGCCCCCACCGATATAGTATCTATTTTCCTCTGCAGAATAAAAATCTCTATTTTTATCAATGGCTTGGTAGCTTTTCCTTGAATCCAGAACACACCATTGTTTACCTCTCTTAAACAAATAGGATACATTGTTGGGGGACTGGTTGTCTGGCCCTGCAAAAGGACCCTGAGATTCTGGCCCATGGTTGACCCTAATGAGGCCGCTGGGGATCCAGGTCTCCAGAAGAACCTGGTCAGAAGCCCAAAGATCCTGCACGTTTCTTTTTCTTATTCCAACACCAACTGGCTGTGTGATATCGGATGTGTGATATTGGACAAGTGCGTGACTGGCTCAGTTTCTTCCCTTGCTGAATGGGAATTAAACAAACTCTGAACCTGCCTTTCCTATCTGGAACAGTCGGTGTGAAAATAGCTACCACTGAGTGATAGCCATGACTGCATCCCGAAAAGAAACCAAAGAAAGAGACACCCAAGAAAGGGTGCTGCTGCCCTGGTGTGGAGCTCTTGGTCCCTGAAGCCTATCTGCTTCAGCTGTGGTCAGGCAGTAGGCAGTGAGGACTTAAAACAACGTAACCAAAAGGAAGCCCAAGTGTGGCCCATAACCAAACCATGAAGCGACCTATTCCCATAAAGAGCCCATTGAGGAATCTGCTCCTAACGACACTGACACCTCTGTGCGCATTCACGAGTTGGCTGGCGGAAGTACTAATCCTGCCCACAGCGCTAAACCTGTCTCTAACTCTAATCCTCTCCCCATGCCTAGGTCTAAGTGTAACCTTAGCCTTAACCCTAACTTCAAACACTAACCCCTTCCTAAACTCTAATGCCTGTCCCTAATCCTAACACTTCCCCCCCAGGGGAGGACCCGAAAGGCAGGGGGAGCCATGAAGCTCTCCACCCCCCACTCCTACCCCCACCCCCCAAGGGCAACAACTGATCCCAGCCAAATGGAGAATTTCCCCCTCACCCCAGGACTCTTTTGCTGTGGTTGGTGCCTCCCACCTCTCCCTGGGTGTGTGAACTCTGACCCTGTTGGCCTTTGGGATGTGTGGGGGTAGGGGAGTGGAGCCAGGAGCTGCTCAATGCTGCAATGCCACCCCTTTCCCTTTCTCTCCATCCGCCAAGCTAGCACCAGCTCAGCTCCGATGGGCAGTCAGGGGGAGGAATATTATTGATCTGGGGTAGGAGGCACCTGACAAGCCTTGGGTTTCCAGTAAAGAACCCCCTGCAGAGAAGCTATTAGATCGCTCAGCTTCTAAAGCAAGAAGTTAATGGGCTGCCAGAAGCAGGAGGGGGGCTTATGCCCCTGGTGGACAATGCCCAGGGTTGGGGAGAAGCAGCAGGGTGGAGAATAGAAGGGTTGGCAGCTGGCCCCAACCACTCTCACCTGACTCCTAACTCCAAGAGCTAGATCAGTATCTGCTTTAGGCCAGATGCTGGAAGGCTTTGGGCTGGGTTGACACATAGGAGCTGGAAGAAGAGCAAGAGAAAGCAATGAATCCTGTTCTGGCCTGAACTAGCTTTTCAGCAAATCTTTTGTTTATTTGTTTGTTTGTTTTTCCCCCAGACTTGGTTGCCTTGTCTATTAAATAGGGGTGGTTATGGGTACTTAGACTTCTTCAGGAAGGTGATGAGGTTCAGAGGAAATCATGCGCATGAAAGCCCAGGTCATTTGGACACTTGCTGACACCTCTCCTGTGCCAGGCATATGCCCAATGCTGGGGAGACAGTCATAGTGCCTGCTTGAAAAGTCCACAGTCCAGCTGGGGAGTCAGGCACACCAACACACACGGTGTAATGGGGGGAGTACAATGGAGGCTCGGCACATGTATGAGGTTTAAGGACAGATTCCTACACTCAAGCCCTCAGCATGGAGGCCCTTCACTCGCAGGAGCTGGGACTTTGAAGAGGAGGTAGGGAAGTGCAGAATGAGGACTAGTTCTCAAGGGGGCATACACTAATAAAAGGGGGAAAAAAGTGAAGGGGCTATAAGATCTGCAAAGCACTACATCATATGGAGTAATTATTTTGTGATTATGAGCATCTATGCCATCCTCAGGCAAAACTTGAGCAGGTAAATCCTGGGGAGAAAAACAACTGTGCCTGGAGAGAGGCCTCTCTACAGTCTCAGGACCCCGGGCAGCTGGGGGGCGGGGGTGGTGGTGGTGCCATAGGATAGTACTATCGGGATGGGCCTGATGCCTCAGCCCTGCCCTATCCATGCAGGCTATCCTCCCACTCACCTCTGATCTTCAGGTGCCAGATGCCACACACCAGGGGAATCTGAGGCTGCCAGGGACCCTGACACACGGTTGGCCTCAGCAAGTGAGGGAGGTGCTGGTCTTGAAATATCCAGGGGGAGGGGGTGGGGGAGAGGAAAACCTGAGAGGACTGAGATGGCAGGCAGGCACCGTCCCCAGGGGGTCAGCAAGCTGGCACCACGCACACCCTGCCACACGCACCCTGGAAAAACCCTGTCAGTGGGGCTGCAAATACCCCAGGGTCTAGCACATCCCGCCCCCCCACCCTCCAGGCTGGTTCAGTGCTCCTCTCCAAGCCAGAGGGAGAAAAATAACAAAATGAGGAGAAAATAAGCTGTTTGGCTGTGGTGTGAGCAGGAATATCCATGCA